AGAAGAATGTGATGAGGCAACTCAACACTCCTGACAGATTAACGTTAAAGATGGCCAAGTAGGGAGCTGGAACTTTCCTCCCTTGCAGCCAATAATGCCAATCCTCCCTACCCCCATGATGTCAGTGGAAATGGGAACCCCTCCACCAGCAGTAACCTAGAGAACCCTTGCCTCAGGTGTCAATAGGCTCAACAGGGAACCTAGACTTTCACCTACATCTGGTCACTACATCTGGTTACTACCGCAAGTACTACCATAAGGCAGTGTCTCTGCTCCTACCAGAACAGTGTCAAAAATGTCCAGTTAAAACAGAAAGTTTAAATAAGATCCACAAAGAAGATATACATGTGGCCAAGAAGCACAGGAAAAGATGCTCAATATCACTAATCGTTTGAGAAATGCAAATCAAAACACAATGAGATACCACCTCACACCCATTAGGATGACTATGATTTTTTTTTAAGCAGAAAATAGTAAGTGTTGGAGAGGTTATAGAGACACTGGAACCCTTGTGCATTACTAGTGGGAATGCAAAGTGGTAAAGCTATTATGGAAAACAGTATGGCAGTTCCTCAAAAAATTAAACATATAATTACCATGTGATCCAGCAATTCCATTCCTGGGTATATACACAAAGAACTGAAAGCAGGGACTCAGATATTTGTACACAAAGGTTCACAGCAGCATTACTTACAATAGCCAAAAGGTAGAAACAACCAAAATGTCCATCAACTGATGAATGGATAAACAAAATTGGTATATACATATAATGGGATATTAGCCTTAAAGAGGAATGGAATTCAAACATTTGCTACAGCATGGGTGAACCTTGAAGTCACTACGGTAAATGAAACAGGCCAGACAGAAAAGGACAAATATTACATAATTCTATTTACTTAAGGCTTCTAGAGATGACAAATTCATAAGGACAGAAAGTAGAATGGCGGTTACCAGGATCTGGGAGAGGGGAAGAATAGGGAAGTGATTATTTAAAGAGTACAGAATTTCAGTTTGGGAAGATGAAAAAGCTCTGGAGATGGATGGTGGTGATGGTTGCACAACAAAGTGGATGTACTTAAGGCCACTGAACTGTATATTTAAACTAGTTAAAATGATAAATTATATGTTACATATATTTTACCACAGTAAACTACTGGTTAAAAAAATAAGATCCAAAGTCTTGTGATGAATTATGAAAATACTGAAGTTTCAGTTGAAAATCCCTCATACCAAAAACCACAAAGACCTCAAACTGAATGTAAAAAGACAATCAATACATGCCAACAATCAATAAATGACAGAGATGTTAAAATTATCTGATAAAGATTTGAAAGCAGATGTGACAAAAATGCTTCAACAGGAAATTACAGCTATGCTTGAAACAAAGGAGTATCACTACCTCATGATAAAAAAATACTTAAAAAAATTCCGTTTACAAGCAATATTTAGTCATTTTAAATCTGTATGCAATGTATAACATAGCCTCCAAAAATGTAAGATCAATGACAGAATTATAAGAGAAATGGACAAATTGACAATCATAATGGGAGATGTTTTCCATAGGCTTTCCAATAACTGATAGGAAAAATACATAAGAATAAAGATTTGAACAGCATAATTAACTAACCTAACTTAATGAGTGTTATACATATCACACAATAACTGGAGAGTACTCATTACTTTTAAGAATGCTGTGAATATTTACAAAAATTATCCACATATTGGACCATAAAGCAAGTTTCAACAAATCTGAAAAAACTTAAGTCACAAAGAGCACATTTCTCTCATCACAATGCAATTAAACATTTATTAAGAAAACAGTAACAAAAGGATAACTAGAAAATTCTCATGTGTTTGGAAATTAAGAAACATACTTCTAGATGATTCATGGGTTAAAGAAGAAATCACAATGGAAATTAGAAAATACTTTGAACTTAAGAGTGAAAATACTAAGTATCAAAACTTCAATGGATACAGTTATTTAGAGGGAAATAAATAGCCTTAAATGCATTTAGGAAAGAAGGTTAAAATGAGATAAAAATTAATTTCAGAAAAATTTAAAAAGAATAGCAAAATAAACTCAGAAATAACATATGAGAGCAAAATAGGAACCTCCCTACTTATAATGGCAGTAAAAATTTATATGTAAGAGTTTGGGTTTTTTGTTTTGTTTTCCTTTGCTTTTTACAAAGAGTTCCTGGAGGAAATGTACCTGATCATTTTGTATATCCTTTCTGGTTCTGTGGCTTTTTTAACCCTTCCTTTTTAAATAAATTGTGGTAAAATATACATAACAAAAAATCTATCATTTTAACCATTTGTAAGCGTACAACTCAATGGCATTAAGTACATTCACAAAGTTATGCAACCATCACCATTCCAGAACTCTTCATCATCCTAAACAGAGACTCCACACCCATGAAACTATAACTCCCCACTCCTCTCTCCTCCCAGGCCCTGGTAACCTCTATTTACTTTCTATCTCTATGAATTTACCTTTCCTAGGTACCACATATAAGTGGAATCATATAATATTTGTCCTTTTGTGTCTGGCTCATCTCACCTAACATGCTTTCAAGGTTCATTCATAATGTATCATGTCAGAATTTCATTTCTTTTTATGGCAGAACAATATTTCATTATATAAATATGTCACATTTTGGTTATTCATCTGTTGATGGACCTTTGACATTTAACAGCATATTAATCCTCCTCATCATTCCTACTATCTTATGAAAATACTATTTACTAATAGCTTTTTTTGAAAGACTTCAAGCAACAAATCACAAATTCTTGGGGTGAATTACAAACTTGTTATCACATGGTTTATAAAAGAAAACATAAAGGAGAAAATAGATTTTACACTGTACTTTTCCCCAAAATAAGTTTCTATCTTATTTATAATCACTTTTTATTAAACTAAGAGTCTCTATTTGTTTTATTGGTTTTGGGGGGAGGGGCAGAGATTAAGTGTATTTGTTTGTTTTTAATGGAAGTACTAGAGATGGAACCTAGAACGTCATGCATGCTAAACATGTGCTCTACCACTGAGCTATAACCTCCCCCGTCTATTTGTTTTAAGACTGACTTCTACTATACATGTCTCTCATCTGGGCCAAAATGAAAAAGCAATGCTAGCATGTATGAACAGGCAAAATGGCATTTAAATTAATATGAAATAACTTTGCCTTACAAGGGAAACTTGATATGCTCACCAAAAAAGCTCCAGGGAAACCAGCTCTAGTGAACATTTCACTAGGATGTTTTGTAATATGTGAAAAGTCTTTTGAATAAATGAGACATTTCAGACCTTTTCTCATCCAGTCTGGTATTTAGTATCCTGCAAATTTCAGTTCATGTTTAATTTCAGATTGTGTGTTATTTATCTCAGTTCTTGTTAAATTTTCAAATTCAGATTATTTATCTCTTTGGTTTTCCTTCCTTAAAAAAAAAAAAAAAAACCTTAAGGGTGGGAAAGCGAAAAGAAATTAAATTCAATCTGGCCAATTTAGTTGCCTATTAGTAATGCTATTATATGTTAAAGTATGACTAAGTACTGACCAAAAAAGAAGGTTTGGGATTAAAATAAAGTACAGCTACAAAGTTCCCTGAGAACCTTTTAACTTGTTTCATTCTGTGAGCCTTCTCTCTTTACATTCTGTGTATTTTATGCTATATAAAGATACTATTTTTAGCACCTATTTTTCTTAGCTTCCCTGTTTGTATTTTGGTATCTACATAGACCACATCACTTTGGATTCCAGGCATGGAGAAAACACTGCAAGTCCACCTTCTCCTCAAATGCAAAACATGAATACAAAGGGGAAAAAATTACTAACAGCATAAATCTTCAAAAAATACTTTTTCCTAAATCTATAAATATCTCAGAGAAATTAAAATCCTCCAAGAACCTAAAATTGGTCAAGGAGACAGATGTTTGGATTCTCCTAAGTATAGCACAGGGAATAAAGTTTGGCACCAACAATTATTCCAACTGAAGTATATTTCAAAAAGGTTGTCTGACTATATCTTTAGACTATCTGAAGAGAAACTGTTTTTACTCTCCTTCCTGGGAAGAATTTTTGAGGTTTAAGGTCTTTTTTAAAAAAATACAACTTTATCCTTCAGATACATTGCTATGAACAGGGAAAAATTATGTACCTTAAAGTAACAGGAATTTTATATTTTGGCACATATGTTCCTTTTTGGTACTTTATTACATTTTGCTTCGTGTTATAGGTGTTTGTGTACATACTATATGCCCAACCAGATTATAAATGACTTACAAGAAACATGGCATATTTATAACTATATTTTCCATTATGCCTAATATAGCACTTTGCACATAGTAGGTTCCCAATAAATACTAGTAGAATGTAGAATTATTGAATAATCATGTAAAAAAAAATTACTAAAATTAACAGTGAAAAAGGAGGCTACTTTATTCTTAATCATATTGTAATGAAGACTATTTTAAACTCTATGCAGTGATGATACACACAAATATTTAAACTATTTATGTGCCCCAACTTGACATAATTTCATGATAACTTGATGGCAATCACATTTAAATATATTAGAATATTTTTGTAATAATGCTACTCCAGAATAGCAACTTTAATAGCTGGGAAAACATGTTAATGGCCATTAACCTGAAGGAAACAGGGAACATTAAACATTTTTTCAGAAATCAATGTATAAGTTTAAACATTCCACTATAATATTTATGAGCAAACCTCAAATTAAAATTTATAAAATGCAAACTATCAAATGTTTCAGCCAGATAATAATTTAAACTATGTTTTGTAATTTTTTTCTGTGTACACATTGATGAATACTATATAAAAAAGATTCTTTTCTCCTTTAGTGTCTCTGACTATTATTATCGAATACCAACATAAATTCTACTCGAATTCAAGACCATGGCAATCCTATAAAAGCCCTTGATTATCAATCAATACGATATTACTCAGTGAACATAAGCAAGTAATTTTCCTTACCTTCAGGACAGCTATGAATGGTACAAAGTTAGCTCTTTGGAGTCCATTTTTATAGAGATCTGAAAGAAAAAATTAGTATTAGCTTTTTATTTAACCTAAATTATAATGTTAGCTTCTATTTTAGCCCAGCAAATAATGCTTTCTACTCATGAAAAAGATAAAGAAGCAGAAGAGAAGAAAAACAGTCAAAACTGGTATCTATTCTGGTACCACACAAAACTTATTATATTCTTAATAAGAGAAAAAATTAATAATCACAGAAAGAATATCAAAAGGTACTCAATCAAACTAACTTTAAACCATAACAAAAAGCAAGAAAAGAATTTGGAAGATATCACAAATGGGCCTAAACCAGTAACTCAACATAAGAAGATGATATATTTAAAAGCACTTAATATTAGAATGTATAGATTCTACTGGGAAACAAATTATATGCCCCTTGTCTCAATGTATAATAAAAGTTCTTAGTTTAGAAAATTTTGTAGTAAAATTAAGCCTTTTAAGAAGACACAGCAATACACAAAACTGTGCATGTATTTATATATGTGGCATTAAGGTCACTTTATTTTAAAGAAACACCCTAAAACTTAGAACTCTATTCTCAATAGATTATAAATTTAATGCAACTATACATCATAAACAGATAGTTTTTATTGCCTTAGACTGGTTTTACATATATATATATATATATATATATGCATGCCATGGTGTATATATGTTCATATATACACATAAATACACATATAGTTAAGAACAAACAAGGGGAAAGGGGAAATAAATTTTAAGTTTTACACATTTTTCTTTAAAAATGGAGACAGAATATTTCTCAAGAAGTTAAAATTTTATTGCATTTAAAACATTCTTTTTAAAAGTCCACTCTATAATAAAGTAATGAGATTTAAAAAATGAAAAAGTATAAAAATGTGAACAGTAAAAAGTTTTCTCAATTATAAAAATACATGTTAGCTTTTGTCTCAATTTTTCTTTTTAAGTATTGTGTTATGGAATCTTTCTATATTTACTTGTTTAGAGAAAATTTGATCACTAAGATTTCAACTGCCACATTTACTTATGGAAATAAAATATGGTCATTAGGAAACATTTATTCTCTTTAGAAAAATATTCATCATAACATCATTATGGAGAAGAAAGTATTTGCATAAGCTCTTTGGTTAATTAAGGACTACAGGCTTTAAATTCAGTTATATTTAAAATTTTTATTTAGGGATATTATAAAAGGTCAGATAATGCTAGCCAGACTGTGAGGATTTCAAAATTCAAAATGAGATCTTTTGTTTCCTACAATCAATACCTCAAATGAATAAAATGTAGGAAATGGGTTTAAAGTTAGGAATTTTCATAGTCTTTCCTAATTACTAAGCCTGCTGCAGAAGGTGTATAAAAACGTTGCTGTATAAGAGTTGACAGCCATGATTGCCAGTAAGTGGTAAAATTCAAAAATGAAATAATTTTTAAAACACACTCAATGTTCATAGAAGCTTTATTCATTACAGCTAAAAATGAGCCTTTATTTGTAACAGCCAAAACCTGGAAGCAATCCAAATGTTCATCATCAGGTAAATGGATAAACTATGGCATATCTGTATAATGAAATACTACTCAGCAGTAAAAATATAAATGATTCATACACAAAAAAAGATGAATCTCAAAATAATTATGCAGGGTAAAAGAAGCAAGACCCCCCCCACCTTTCCTCAAAAAATAGTACCATATTGTGTGATTCCTTTTATATAAAACTCTAGAAAAAACCAACTGATCTATAGTAATAGAACACAAATCAGCGGTTGCCTAGGGAAGGAAGGTATTGGAGCAGAGATGGCTAGGAGAGCTGAAAAGGAGGAGGAGGAAAATGTGGGGTGTGAGATTGTGGTGGTGATTTCATATGCGTATACATACATTAATATTTTAAATATTGTATCCTTTAAATATATGACATTTATTATTATATGTCAATTATGCTCAACATGCCCTTTCAAAATTTATTGGAGAAAAAAACATACACATTAGTGAATATCAAAGAACACAAAGTTACAGAATTAAAACTAAAACATAGCACACAAGTTTAGCTATGATAAGGTACCTATGTTAAGGTAAACTTTTGGTCTTACTGTTCTCTTTTTTTATGGACATATAAGACAGGACCTGAGACATAATTTAACAGGCATTTACTGTTCAGTAGGTTAATCGCAATGAGAGATGTAAAGGCCCACTTGTGATATTCTTGATTAAAAGATTTCCACTCAGCAAAGTCAAAGCAAAATAACAATGCCTTTAAGTCTTTGAGATTTAATTTTTAAAGGGTTGTTTTTTAAAAATCAGCCTTTACAAGGATATATAATTTAAACTTCATGTTCTGGGAAGTATTTTCTAAACAAAATTCTAAACAGAATTCATTTGGCTTGAAAACCTTTAGGTTTTTATAGGATACTTAAGTGAAAAAGGACTATGCTCATTAAATTGAAGAGTTTTTTGCAATTCAGATATTATGTTAATTATCAATACAACAGATCTATCTCCTAAAATGTTATTTAGCTACCAAATTTTTAATACTAGTTGTTTAATATTATTTTTCTTAGACATAAAGATTTTATAATACATTTATATCAACATTTGTCATTATTTACTAAATACTATTTTAAAATTCAGTAGAAGTTCTTTCTACGACTTTTTAATGATCTCTGAACAGAGCTAAACGAGCACTTGGTCATATAAGACAGAGTACTGGAATTATGGGACATTCATTTTTTTGAGAATGGTATAAGGACCTCTACATTCTCCACTGTGAATAACTGTAATAATACTTACAGATGAAATACATGCAAAGAGGATTTTTAAAGTAATTACAAGGATCTACATAAATACTTTGGAGATGCACATGGATATGCAGATCTTTTCCTTAAAAATCCACATGTCAAAACCAACAGGATGAATAATTAATGCTTATTTATATAAGCACACATGGGTTTAGACTAAGAAAACTTTTAAGATAGGTAATTAAAAGGAGTTTTCCTATACATTAACACAAAAAAATTCTATGGCTTTATGGAACCAATCCTATTTATCCTTCCAGGAGATTCTTATTTAAGCATAGATTAAAAGACAATGGCACCTTTAGACCAGATAAGCAGGAAGAGCTACTTAGCTTCTTTTTAAAACACAAATTGGAGTCCAAACAGTATTTTACTAAATGTGTAGATAATACAGCTAATTAAATGTTCCCATTTGATGGTATATTACAGTTTTATATTCAATTCAACATACATTCATAAATTCCTACTATGTGCACTGAAATGAGCACAAAAGATCAATAAAGGGAGAAACTAGGATTTACAGAACACCTACCAGGAACCAGGAAGCTTGCTAGACACTGTATAGAAATCATAATGCTACAAAGTAAATATTTCTACCTCTATTTTACAAATAAACTAATACTCAGAGTTTTAAAAATAATTTTCTAAATTCCCAGCCAGTAATTGGTATAGCTAGAATTTTAGAGGCAAAGTCTAAAACTTGTAGACCTTTTCAGAACCACATTGTGACAAGTTAGACTAGCCACAGCTAACGGACACAGCCAGACACAGCCAGATCATAACCATGATACAAAGTAAAAAGGGATACAAGGTATAAACATAAGACACAACGTAAGAAGCTACTCATTTTATCTGGGTTCAAAGGCAGCTTTACAGGTAACAATGGGACCAGATTACCTTGGAAAAATGAGCAGTGTGCCACCAAGCAGAAAGGAAGGAAGGGTATCCTAGGCCGAGTAGTCAGCATGAGTTCATGACTTTACCTCTACCTTCTTTTCTAATACTATACAATCTACTGCTCAAATTCTACTGCCACATTCTCTACCAAGCTTTCCTTGAATCCACTATTGTGGACAGACTTTTACAGTGGCCTTCCATAATCTCCAGACCTGGTGTTCACAGCTTTGTATAAACACTAGACCAGGAACAAGGGACAGTTGTCCCAAGAATAGGAAACAAATACACTGAGTTCTACAACTGCCCTAGCTTAGTGCCTGGGTAAAGTTTATAGCATTCTGCACAGGGATGGAGAACCCAAGCAGTGCCTGGCAGTCTCCCTGACTGAGGAAAAGGGTGAGAGTTCAGGGAGGAAAAAGCAGCTAGAATTTAAAGGTCAGTGTATCAAAGTGTACTGGAGAAAAGAGAGCTCTAAGGATATGCTGAGGGTCCCAGTTGAGTCCCCAGCTCAGTACTGATCAGCATATGTGTATGAGGAAGCTACCAGAAGCCAGGGAAAGAATCATCCGAAAGTACTCAAAGAAACCATGACTGGGGCTCACACAGGCTGGGAATAGTACCTTTCTCCACCAGTCAGATTGGAAAACCTCTTAATTTATGGGGTATTGGGCAGAATACTGAGAAGGAATTTATCTCAGTAGTGATGAAAATTAGTCCTAGACTAAATGCACTCTAGTCCTGCCATAGAAAACTTAAAAGCAATACCCAAAAGAATCAAACTGCCTCTAAAAAAGAGAATAAAGCCCAAGAATATTTATAAGGATATAAAAATACCTAGCACTCAACAAAGTAAAAGTAAAATTCATATTGTCTGGCATCTGATGAAAAACTACCAGTATGCAAAGAAACAGGAAAAAATGACCCAGAACAAGGAGTAAAATCAATCAACAGAAACGGAGCTAGGAATGACATAGATAATAAATTTAGAAGACAAGAACATTAAAACAGTTATTGCTGTATTCCATGTGTTCAAGTAGCTAGAAGAGTGAGCATATCAAATAAAGATATGGGAAAATATTAAAAAGACCCAAGATGAACTTTTCAAGATGCAAACTACAATATGTGAGATGAAAAATATGCTGGATGGGAATAATAGCAGGTTAAACATTGCAGAAGAAAGTATTAGTGAACTTTAAATCATATCAGTTAAAAACTAGCCAAAATGAAGCTCAGAGAGAATTAAAAAACTAAGAAAAATGCACAGAAAATAAGTGACTTCTAGGGCAACTTTAAGCAACCTAATATATGTGCAATTGTAGTACTCAAAGGAG